GCGTCGTATATCCATAAATGAGACCAAGATGAACTGAGTATGTTATTAAACCATTGGTATACTATTTTAGATGCTATTAAACGTGCGACTTCCATTTTGCGCATAACTGGATCTAATTTCTCATCATACATAAGATCAGCTTCCCTAGAAATTATTATGATTGTTCTAACATGCAATATTTTTGTCATGTGTTTTTAAATATTATAATTTCCGTATTTATTTTGAAATACAAATTGTATTCAGATCATGCTGTATGATAATAGTAATATTAATAACTATTCAAAATAACTTTTGTTTTATGTTAATTTTATAACAGATTTTTATAATTAACTGAATATTAGTTATAAAAATATATATATACATGAATTTGAAGTTTATACATGGATGCATAAATTTCAAAGTTTTAAATATTGAATTGATATAAATTTTTTATTTAACAAATTGTTTTAAATATTTAATTGATATAAATTTTTTATTTAACAAATTGTTTTAAATATTTAATTGATATAAATTTTTTATTTAACAAATTGTTTTAAATATTTAATTGATATAAATTTTTTATTTAACAAATTGTTTTAAATATTTAATTGATATAAATTTTTTATTTAACAAATTGTTTTAAATATTTAATTGATATAAATTTTTTATTTAACAAATTGTTTTAAATATTTAATTGATATAAATTTTTTATTTAACAAATTGTTTTAAATATTTAATTGATATAATTTTTTTATTTAACGTATTGTTAAATATTAGAAAATATGTGTGTGTTACGTATGAAAGATGAGCCCCCATTTCGATGTGTCGTCTTGTAGAAAATTTGGAATTGCAACATGATCCATTTTTGGAATATTTATCTCACTGAATTCAGATTTTAAATGCAATGTAATATTGTTTATGATTCTTCGTGCAAACTCAAATTTCTGAAACTTCTCTTCTGTAAAATTTTCCCACCACAAATCAATGTTTTCGTCAATTTTTTCATAAAAATATTGAGTTATAACTATTGCAACTTGAGAAGTAGATATTGGAGGAGTAATATAGAAGAATGTGTGTATTAAATCTTCATAACGTTCACCAATCTGATGCCATATCGGCATGTTTGATAAAACTGAAAAATAGGGAAGATGTTTTATTGAAATATTAAATGTAGCCTTTAAGTGTGGTTCATCCCAACAAGGAAATAATTGTCTCATTTTATTCTGCGCTTGAATATGTGAAGCGAGCAACAATCTGCAACAATTTAATAATAATTAAATTTTCTTTAAATAAAATTAAACAATATACTTTTCACCATTTGATTTAATTTATATAACAACATCAAAAATTAATATAAGAGAATGCATTTTACGGAGAAAAGAGAAATAGTTATATTAGAAATAGTTATAGAGCATCTAATGGCATATATGTATATTTTCAATTATTTAATATTTACTTAATTTACTTAATTTAACTATATTAACTTAATTTCACTATATTTACATAATTTTACTATAAATATTTAATTTAATCATTAATTATTATTTAATATTTACTCACGTAACGCGATATTTTTTGCCAAAGTTTCTGTAGAAACTTTTTTCATGATTTTCTATAAGTTGACCTTTGAAATCTATGTTGAATGTGTAAAGCCCGGGAAGTAATATATCAGATAGAGAACATTCTAAAATATTTGTTTGTTCAGTATATTTTAATTTTTTCAAACCGTAAATTATACCGTTATCTGTAGTCAAAGTTTTTTGGCGATCAAGCGTAAATATCAGATCTAACTGATGCAATCTTATATATCGAGTGGATTGAAGGATATGGATAGTAGTTTTAATTTCTCCAGAGAAACGAAATAAATACTCATTTTCTGTTTCATTGCAAAAGATATATGTATCGTTACATTGATAAATTTCGCGTCTGATCTGTATAGTGTAATGCACTGGCCTCACGTAATAAGGTAAAGGTATGTCCTCTGGAATTCCAGAATTGTTTACTTTTGCACTTTTAATAGCAGTTATTACTATGATAAATATTATACTGCTCCTTATGTATGCCAGTTCCATGTTGCAATTGTCGTTCTGACTAATATTTACACAAGATTAAAAAAATTATAGCATACTAATGATGTTAAAATGCACATGATTGGTTGAGAGAGAAAAAGAGAGAGAGAGAGGGTGAGAGAGAGAGAGAGAGAGAGAGAGAGAGAGAAAGAGAGAGAGTGACAGGTTATTAAAGTCGATACATAAATAAAAGTAATACTAAAACATATTCTAATTCAAAAATATTTCTAGAACCGTTGTGATTAAAAACATCGTTACAGCAACTTAAAGTTCTACAAAAATTTTGAATTATTATTTATTTTAATAAACATTTGACATTAAATACGTGTTTATTTTTTCCTTAATTAGTACTTTAAATAAAAATCCTGTGAATATATCATATTAATGTCTACAAAAAATTATACTTTATAGTGCATTATTAAGTTATTAGTGCATTTATTATATACGCATGCTTACGTATGTAACATTTAGTCAAAAGCCAAATAGTGTTGTTACAAAGCTAGCACTTAAAAAATAATTGTGCGTGCTGACTGCAAATAAATCAAATGTAATATTTTTAGAAACTTACCTCTGTGTAATAAAATATTGTGCTATTAGAATATAATTAAAAATTCTAATTAATATTTATAATAACTGTAACGGATCTATGGATTTTAATAGAATGTTATTGATTACTGCGATCTTATTCTTCCGAGATGTCCTAACAGACTAACATCATCGATAATATATTATGTTAGGACTATAGGCATTATATAATAATTACAAAATCGTTTTCTATAATGTAAATATTGTTGATATGCTATATTAGTTGACAAAATATTAGTCAATTTACCTTTCGATAAAATACATATT